GTTAAATCAATTTCTAAACAGAGATCGAAGACATTAGATCATGTTGAGAAATTGCTTTTGCTTTGGATAACTGAAAAACAGTGTGCTGGAGACAGCGTATCAGAAGCTTTATTATTTGCGAGAAAGCTAAAAAGATACATGCTAATCTCATGAAAAATCAAGCAGGAACTAGCCAGGAAAGCGAGGTGTTTAAAGCTAGCCATTTTTTTTTTACATGAGAACGGATTAATCATTTTTACATTACTTCTTATGGGAAAGGTTGGTTTGGTATACGTCCTATTCGGTATAAGTCCAAACACCAGGAACGGATTAAGGTCGTATACCGGGGTTCCACTGTATATCGCTTCAATTTATCATTGGTTGATTATATTTAAAATTCGATAAATTTCTGAATATTCAATTACCTGAAAAATAAATAAAATTAAACTAATTAAAGTAGAGGTTTACTAGAATCAATGCCAAATGCCAAAAAAAAGATGCAAATTAAGCAATGCCAAAAGTATGTACACATTGTTTAGTAGTCTGGTCATACCTCTAGTCATTACAATAGATGAATTTTGTTTCCGGAATTATTTTTAAATCTTAATTTACGAGGAAAATATGCAAAGCAGAAAAGAAACTAGCTGTTTACCTTATTTCTATTATCAGAATCTTTTGTGTAACAATGTCCTTGATATGTAAGGGTGATTAGTTAAAACGCAGTCAAACGTGCCATTAGAAATTCCAAGGACGTATTTATTACCATTTTCCTGATTATTTACAACAGCATAAAATACAAATATTAACCTAAATTATGTCAAGAAGTTTCGCTGACTTTTTCGACTTTAAAATTCAGCTGAAATATAAGGAACTCGAACCGCATCATTTTCATTGTAGTTGTTGTTGTTGTTTTTGTTGTTGCTGATGCTGCTGCTGGCAGAAGCTTCTCGGCATCTTCTCTGTCTTTTTTCTATGAAAATCAAATTTTTTGTCATTTCTTTATCAAAAAATTGTCATGCATGTAATTATATACTTACCCGCAATTTAAATTAGCAAAATAACAATGATTTAAATAAAGCACACCGTCGGAACCGCAAACCGGATCTGGAAGAGGAGTACAAGAATGTGGGCATTTAGGAGTTGTCACGCACTGTGACATATCCACGATCTGCACTTCTCGAATGCTGAAAATAAACAATTCAAAGTTAGATAATAAAATTAATTTAAAAATTTAAAAATTTTATTAAACATTAACCCGCAATTCTCGATTCGAAAAAAGCATTCGTTAGAATAGATTTTGCCATTAGAAGCGCAAACGGGACGATATAAGTCGGGACATATTTTTGGACACGCATTATCCACACGACGAAAACCTAAAGAATGTAAATTAAATCAATCAAAACTATAAGAAAAAATAAATAAATTTAAAGAAATAAAAATAAATACCTCTGAAATTTGTGAAGCATCTCACTAAATGATAAGTTTTCATCTTTTTCCTGAAAAGATATCGCTTGATGATTATGATAGAATTTATATAAATACGCTTAAATTAGGCTAAATGTAAGATTTATTTTTAAATTAAATATTTGAAAAAAGTTGATTTAAATGATTTAGCAATTTTTGCTAAATTTTACAAATTAATCTATTAAAAATATTTTTTCGGAGAGTTTTATATCTATAAAGTCGTCACAGGAGTTTTTACAACCATTTTTTAAATAAAATTAAATATAAGAAACACACCCGCAGTTGAACTTATACAAAAGACACAAATTTGGATAAATCTTTCCATCTTCTCCACAAACAGGGTCTTGAATATTTAGGCATTCATCCGGACAAAGTGGGTGTTTCCCTCTGCAATTCTCCCAACTTGCAACTTCAATTTTTTTGCTGAAACGAATAATAAATATTTTACTATCGGTTCTTCCATGTTAAGTTAAAAAAGATTTGGGTTCTTTCACATTAAGTCACTTTAAAAAAGTAGACTAGCTACATCACACTAACATCAATCAAATAATAAAAAAAAAAAACTTACCCACAAGTCTTCACTTTCAGATGGCATTCATTTTGATAAACGTTTCCGTCTGAACCACAAACTGGATTTTCATCTGTAAGAATGCAATCTTCGAAGCAATCTGTATTATTTTCGAACGAATCTAAATTATTATCTGTCGTTTCTGCTTCTTTTTTCGATGATGACGATGGATTCTGTGATTTTTCCTCGTCCATAAATTCGGGAGGTTTAACCGGTGTCAATTTTTGTTCCGATCCGGATTGTTCAGGTTCTTTAGAATCTGGTTTTTGAGTTGTCGTCGTCTGTTTCATTTCTGTAATCGTTGTTTGTGGCGGTGTAGTCATTGTACTCTCCGAATCTTGAGATATTGTAGATAATTCTGAAGTTTCAGAATCTTGAGATATCGATGATTCTGTCGTTTTTTTGTCATTTGGTGTCGAAGTTCCTGTATTGTCTGAAATTGTTGAATCTTGTGGCTTTGGAGAATCTGATGATTCTAGTTCTACAGGAATTGTTGTCGTTTCTGGATTTTGTGCCATTGAAGATTCGGACATTTCTATACTTTTTGGAGATGTTGATTCCGGTGTTTCTGAACTTTCTGATGTTGAAGATTCTGAAGAGTCTAATACTTCAGATTCAGAAGTTACTGGATTTTCTGAAGTCGATGACATTGAGGATTCTGATGGTTCTGGTTTCGAATCCGAACTTTCGGAAACTGCGGTATCTGAGTTTTCTTCAGATACCGTGACTTCTAATGTAGATTCAGTCAATGTAGATTCTGTCGATTCAGGATCTTTATTTTCCTTTACGGAATCTTCAGAAGACACAGAATCTGTAGATGGATTCTTTGATTCTTCTACTTCTGAAAGTCCAGAAGCTTCCGTTGTGAGCTCAATATTATTTGCTCCTAATTCTTTTTCTTTCGACGATTCTTCGTTTTCAGAAATTGAAGTATTTGGAGTTTTTGATTCTTTTGCCTCCGAACTTTTGACACTTTGTGTAGTTTCAGTACTTGTATCTGTTGCAGTCTGTAATGTTTGTAAAGTAGTTTCTTCATCTTCTTTCGAAATTTCGGTATTCGAGGGATTCGTGTTGATCTCTGGAGTAGGACTTGTTATAGATTCGAGAGTCGTTTCATCTATAACAATATTAATGTTTTAAAATAAAATTAAATGAGTTAAATACGCTGTTCAAATAATAATCTTACATATTTTAATTTATTAAAAATGAATATCAGATTTTATTCCAAATGGAAGTGAATAAATAAAAATTAGATTCAGAAAAAATAAAGAAATAATACATAAAAATATTGTTATATTTAAACAGTTTTCTGATAAATTTGGAATATTTATTTTAATAATAATAATAATAATAATAATAAACTAAAAATAAATCCAAAATTTGAATTGAAAATTTTATGAAATACAACTCAGTTCAAGAGAAAAAAATAAAGAAAGACGTTTTTTTTAAGTCGTTATTCAAAGAAGCCTACGTTTAATTCAAAATAAAAAGTACATTAATTAATAATCTGTGATCATTAAAAAGTTAAAAGAATAAAACAGCTCACCTGCTCGAATTTCGAGCATGTATAAAACGAAACAGAGGATTAGACGAACGTCCATGTCAGCGTGCAGTTTGTTACCCAGAGTCGTTCAACATCCAAATGACCTGTTACATCACCTCTGTCTGTGGTACACCGTCACAATGTATATCCTCGGGCTGGAGGTTGGGACGTGTTGGAAAGGTACCGCCTAAAATGAATTAAAAACGCCAATCGTTGCCGCCAACTTTTTTTTTTCTTGCCTCCTTCGTTCTTCGGATATTTTACTAGTTTCATTCGATTCTTACCGGTTTTTTGATCGTCCTTGACCCTCCGTTCGACTTTTCCAAGTACATAAAAAAAAAAAATTGATACAGCACCGCTTTCTAACACTTCTTTGTTACGGTTTCTACCGTTTTTCGTGTCTGTTGACCAATCACGAAGGAACGTTAATCGATAGGTAACCCGAACAACTCCCTTTTCTTGTTTTCGGTAGCTAATAAAACTAGACAATTGTTAAGGTCCCGTTTTGGTATTGTAATCATCGACTTGTCTTTCTGTTTTTATAATTATATGGATTACTGAAGTGGCACGTTTGGGAGACTCGAAAATCTTTAATTGAATTCTTTTACGTTTCATAGATTCTAATTAAGTATTGTTATCGAATCTGATACTCCTGAGTAATGATATTTCGATAATTATCTTTCAATTACTAATTATTTTCCTTTATTTACCATACTGACATATCCA